CCAGGCCCAGCTAATTTTTTGTATTTTTAGTAGAGATCGTGTTTCACCGTGTTGGCCAGAGTGGTCTTGAACTCCTGGCCTCAAGTAATCCACCCACCTCGGCCTCTGAAAGTGCTGGGATTACAGGTGTGAGCCACTGCATCCAGTGAGCTTCCCTTCTTATCTAACTAGCCAGGAAGCTAGCTATCTTATTTTATTCAACGGATTATAATCCATTACTCTCATTATTTACTTTGATGCTCAAATTGTCCCAGATTTAACCAGCAGAAGCCTCTTCAAGTTGTTTCCCATGTCCTTTTGACATATTCCTTTCATTTTTTGATTACTTTGTAAGGAAATTTTCTGGCCCAACAAGATGCTCCAGGCTCATCTTGTACATTATCTGCCCCAGCTTTAGAATCAGTCATTTATTCAAAGAATCCAAGTTCTTTTTAACAGAAAACGTTATTAAGAAATCAGGGTCTGGGTAGTAGACCAACATTTATGTAAAATATAATAATAAATTTCATTTAAAAATATATGCTTTATCTGGCGTCATTAAATGCAAATCCTCTCTGAGGGAACGCACTTCATTCAGGTCCTCAATGAAATCTCACAAATAAAATTCCAAGGCAAATCAGCATATCACTGTCAAAAACAAATGAACACACATAGGAAAAAAGATACCATATGCAAGAACAAAAAGAAACAATAAACAATTAAATAGACTTACAAGAACCTTTGTTTCAGGTATGTCAGACCTTCAAGAGAAGGATATAAAACTTCATTAAAAGTCATTTAAAAATAACTTCAACAGGTGGAGCAATATGCCATGTTAAAAAATTGGAGGACAATACTGTATTATAAAGAAGTAAATTATATACCAATTGTTCTATAATTACTATGCAGTTCCAATGAAAATCCCAGGAGCATTTTTCATGAAACTGGAAACATTAAATCTAAAATTTATATGAAAAATCAGAAGAGAAATATAGCCAAAACACTTTTGAAGAAGATGAAATAGGCTGGGAGACTTGGCCTACAAAATATCAAGTATTATTACAAAGCTATAGACATTAACAGTGTGGTACTGGTATAAAAACAGACAAATTGGCAGAACACAGAGCCCAGAAACAGACCTATGTATTTATGAAAACTTGATATAAAGGAGATTTGGCATGGCACATCACTGAAGAAATTAGTGTGAAACAACTGTTTAGCAAATACAAGTCAATTTCAATGTATTAAAGATTTAAAGTGAAAGAAGAAACTTTACAATCTTTAAAAGAATGTATTGGACAGGCCAGGGGTGGTGGCTCACACCTGTAATCCCAGCACTTTGGGAGGCCAAGGTACGGGGATCACTTGAGGTCAGGAGTTCGAGACCAACCTGGCCAACACGGTGAAACCTCGTCCCTACTAAAAATACAAAAAAATTAGTCAGGCATGGTGGTGCATGTCTGTAATCCTAGCTACTTGGGAGGCTGAGGTGGGGGGATTGCTTGAACCCAGGAGGCGGAGGTTGCAGTGAGACCGGATGGCGCCACTGCACTCCAGCCTGGGCTACAGAGTAAGACTCCATATCAAAATAATAATAATAATAATAATAATAATAATAATAATAATAATGTATTGGACAAAATCATTCTGACCTCAGGGAAGGAAGGAATTTTTAAACAAGAAGCAAAAAGAGCTACCCATAAAAGAGAAGATAGGGTCAGTAATATTATAATTCAGAACTCTGTTCAAAAAGACAACATAGGCCAGGTGCAGTGGCTCACACCTGTAACCCCAACACTTTGGGAGGCCAAGACGGGTGGATCACCTGAGGTCAGGAGTTCATGACCAACCTGGCCAACATGATGAAACCCCGTCTCTACTAAAAATACAAAAATGATCTGGGTGTGGTGGGGCACACCTGCAATCCCAGCTACTCGCAAGGCTGAGCGATGAGAATCGCTTGAACCCAGGAGGCGAAGGTTGCAGAGAGCCGAGATCAAGCCACTGCAACAGAGCAAGACTCTATCTCACACATTAAAAAAAGCCTATATATATATATCTCTCTCTGAAATATTCACTAACAGAAAATAAAGTATAGCGAAACAGATCAACATGGATGAATCTTAGAAACATGTAACATATTGAATGAAACAAAACCAAGTTACAGAAGACTAAAAGCAATATAACATCATTTTTATAAAACCTCAAAATCAAGTAAAACAAAAAAATTCTTTAGAATACCTCTAAAATGTAAAAGGATTATTTTAAAAAGATGTAAGAGAATACTGACCAAAAAAAAGGAAAAAAAATATCAGGTAAAGGCCTTCTAGTGGAGGGGCAGGTTATGGGAAAGGGACACAGTTGTTAGGACAGTACGGATTATGTTCTAGTTGTTACACTGGGTAGCAGGTTATGTAGTTCATGTTATTAAGCTTCTGAATTGGTTGGGTGTGGTGGCTTATACTTGTAATTCCAGCACTTTGGGAAGCCAAGGCAAGAGGATCTCTTGAAGCCAGGAGTTTGAGACCAGCATGGGCAACAAAGTGAGACTCTCTCTCTCTACATTTTTTTAATTAGCCAGGTGTGGTGGCACACACCTGTATTCCCAGCTACTCAGGAGGCTGAGGCAGGAGGATCACTTGAGCCCAGGAGTTGGAGGCTGCTGTGAGACAACCTCACCTCTGTACTCCAGCCTGGGCAACCAAGGGAGACCCTGTCTCTAAAAGTAAATTAAACTTCTTAATCTATATCAGCTTTCTTAATCTTGACACTACAGACGTTTTGGGTTGGATAAATCTTTGTTGCAGGGGCCTGTCCTCTGCACTGTAGGATGTTTAGCAGCATCCCTGGTCTCTACCCACTAGATGCCAGTGCTACCCCCACCCCCCTACCCCCAGCTGTGAAAACAAAAAATGTTTCCAGACATTGCCAAATGTCCCCTGCAGAGCAAAATTGCTCCCTGGTTGAGAATCACTGATCTACATATATGTTATATACACTTTTGAATGTTTTAAATATTCCATAATAAAATATAGTTTAAAATTGATGGGTAGAAGTTTCACTCTGTCTGTGAAACATAATCAGGAAGCTATCATTAAGAGCTGAGTAAGCCAGAGCCTGCCGGAGTCCTTTGAAGTGACAGTGCTGAGCAGTGTGAGCTGACAGTTTCAGGAGGGTTTTGACTAGCAGATGATATTTCTAGAAATTGTGCCGGGTATCAGAAATCAATGACTTACACTGGAGAAAAATGTCTGCAACCTTTCTTAATTCTTTGGGAGATCTAAAAGCTTAGCTTAGTCTTTTAGGACACCATTTAATTTTTTAAAATCAATTATGGATTTTTGAAAATAGGGCTTTGTGTTTTTATATAAACCCTTTCTTCCAAGGTACTGAAAGAGATTCATATATTTCATTACCTTTGGAGAGTTGGCTGTGTCTGTAAAGTCATCACATGTCTAATAGTGGCCCCCAGATGACTGGGAGGTCTCCAGGAATATGATCCAGAGAAAATAACACTGCTGTTCTAGGATGATGAGTGTCTGAGAGCTCACTATTGCACCCCATTAACCTTAGAGCCTCCCCAACTCTGTGGCTTTACTTGAGAGCACCTATCTGGATTCCTTCCTTCCTTCCTTCCTTCCTTCCTTCCTTCCTTCCTTCCTTCCTTCCTTCCTTCCTTCCTCCCTCCCTCCCTCCCTCCCCCACCTCTCCCCCTCTCTTCTCTTCTCCCCCTCTCCCTCTCCTCTTTCCCTCTCTCCCTCTCTCTCTCTCTCTTTCTCTCTTTCTTTCTTTCGGATGGGGTCTCTCTCTGTAACCCAGGCTGGATTGCACGGGTACCATCAAGACTCACTGCAGCCTCAATTTCTCAGGCTCAGGAGATCATCCTACTTCAGCCCTCCTGAAGTGTTTGATTAGCCATCACACCTGACTAATTTAAAATAAAAATGTAGAGACAGCATCTCACTATCCAGGCTGGTCTTAAACAACTGGGCTGGAGCCATCAATCCTCCAGCCTTGGTCTCCCAAAGTGCTGAGATTATAGGCATGAGCTGGCATGCCCAGTCACCTATTTGGTTCTTATACTTGTACTATAGTTCCATTTAACTCCGATGGGGAGAGTTTATATTACCTTCATTTTTTAAAATGGAGAAACATAGACACAGAGAGGATACATGACTTTTTCAAGATAACAGAATCCAGAGTTAATTGATGAGAAATCTAACTGGCATGAAAATCGGGTGTCTTGAAGCTTGGTCTTTGTTTTCCCTCCCCCCCCCAAAACCAGGCTCTGAACTATGTTTGAACTTGTGTGAGTATGTTCATGCAGATGTGTGTGCATGCACATGCACGTGTGTGCACATCTGTGTGTCTGTGGTTTGGGCATGTATGTTTGTTTCTCTGAGGATAAGGTGTCAAGGAGGAGACAAGGCAAAGGATTAAAGAGAGGAGCTAGGAGGAAAGGCATGAAAGAAAGAGCATGAGATTGCCAGGGTGCAGTGGTGTAACCCTACAGTCCCAGCTACTCAAGAGGCTGAAGTGGGAGGACTGCTTCAGCATGGGAGCTCAAGACCAGCCTGGACAATCTAGTGAGACCCCAACCTCAAAAAGTAAAATAAAATAAAAAGAATGAGTGTTCGATTCAGAAGATGCCTTGGCAAGAACTCTGTGAGTCTCAGTTCAACAGTAAAAGGTTGTAGAATAATTGCAAGAATCAAATGAGATGTATCTTTGAAAGTACTTTATGTTTCTGTATATAAATATTAGTATTTTTTTTGGTAGAGCTACTCAGGAGGCTGAGGCAGGAGAATCATTTGAATCTGGGAGGTGGAGGTTACAGTGAGCCGAGATCACACCACTGCATTCCAGCCTGGGCAACAGAGCGAGACTCCATCTCAAAAATATATATGTATATTAGTGATTGCCATTATTAGAATTATTATTAAAATATAATGTGGATGATAAAGCAACCCTCGTGAGTAGGATGACTCACACTTTCTCCATTTTCTTGGCACCACTCTTACCATATGTCCAGCTCAGATGAATATTCAGTGGCTCCCAGCAAAGCATCAGGGGGCCGGTACCAGAGGGTCACGACTTCTGAAGAGTATGTCTGGCTGGGAATGGACTTGGCCCGAGCAAGACCTGTCCAAAAGGGAAAAGCATAAAACCCACTGTTCTGGACCTTGGCTTGCACCTTGATGCACTGGACTGGGGTAAACACCATTAAAAAAAATAACACACAAATTTAGGTGCTTTTAGTAGAACTAATCACTATCTTGACTCTTGTCTATCACTTCTTTAAGTGAATTTCTCAAATTTTGGCCTTCTTGGCAGCTGAGTGTGGTCAGGTGACTAAGTTCTTGCCTATATTATATGAACAGAGGTGATGTGTGAACTTCCAGATCATGCCTTAGTGGAGGGGTTAAGGGTTCTGTTTCCCTTTTCTCCTTCCTCCAGGCTGTGATGAGCAGGAGGTGGCAGCCATCTTGAAACATGCAATGGGGGATGGTGGAGCCACGTGACAGAAGCAGCCTGGGTGAAGACAGCATGGGGCCACCATATATGCTCTGCCCGCTTAGTTCAGGACTGTGTTGCAAGAGAAAGTTAAGTTTCTAGCATGTTATACCTCTGTAATTTTGGGTCTCTGTAACAGAAACTGAGCTCAGTTCATGACTAACATGGCCACTTTCCGTTTTGGCACTCCAGGAAAGCCCAGTTTAGCAGATAAACCGTAGGGACTGCTCATCCAAGTTAATCACTTTGGTAGGACCTTAGATGAATTTCTAAGTGATGTTCTGCAAAATGAGTCTTTCTGTCAGTCAGCTGTTTATCTTACAGAATTGCAAAAAAACTTCAATAGATGAGTTTGCTATTATGGAGAACTGATAAACAAATATCTGTTAAATGCTTACATGTCAGGATAAAAGCTGCCATCTCAGAATAAATACTGCAGTGATAGTATCACCATTTGGCATCTGCCAAACAGAGAAGACTGGTTCCTTAGCTCACATAGAGCCAGTTTTTCAACAAGTATTTATTAAGCACCTACTATGGTACCAGGCACTAGGGATAAAATGATAAGCAAAAACATACCCAGGGTGCCCTCATTATGCTTACAGTCCAGTTGAGACAAAATCATCACGCAAATCTACATATATTTGTGCGTGTGGGTGTGCGCACACATGTGCATATATTTGTGTGTATGCATGTATTTGTGTGTGTGAATATAACTATAAACTGTGATAAGTGCTAAAATGGAAAGATACAGTGATACTTAGAGGAAATCTGCTTCACTTTAATGGGAACAAAACTTTGCATCTCATACCTATATAAAGAAGGTAGGAGAGCAGGAACAAGTGTCCTGGAGTCTCCATCCTGACAGAAGTCCATGCTACAATCTGGGGTTAGTCTCTTTATCATCTTGGGATAATCTCGATCTGCTCAAATATAATTTGTATATTCACTTAGATTTAGGAAAACTTACTAAGTACAGTTTACTCTACCAATGTCTCTATATCAAAACTGGCAGTGGGGCAGTAGAGGTGCCCAGCTTTTGGCCATCTGACTAAACTGGGACTTGGTGGAATCCTAGAAAGCTACCAATCCCTCCCTGTTTCATGCCTCACACTTCCTTTATGGTAGTTTGATATCCTCACAAAGCATCATGTTCTCAGGCCTCCAGTTTTCAAAGGCCAGGCCCAGTCGATGCTTAAACAAGCGCACACAAAAGCGTCATTGTTCACAGCCCAGAATGAGACCCGAGGGGCGACTTACCAAAATCAGCCAGTTTGAGCTCTCCCAGGTGACTGATGAGTAAGTTCTGAGGTTTCAGGTCCCTGTGAAGAACGTGTTGGTGGTGGATGTACGCCAGGCCCCGCAAAAGTTGAAACATGAAAAGCTGGAAGGAAGAAACACTATCCATAAGGAGATTTGAGCCACCACGTGCTGATTTCGCCTCTAAATCAGAAACAGTCATCTCAAAGAATATAGTAAAAGTATCTCTTGAGAGCCAAAAAAAAAAAAGAAGAAGAAGAAGAATTTTACATTCAGACGGGGAAGAAAAAGGACAAGGAAAGTCAAGTAACTAGACTGTGTCCTAAACAAAGGGAATCCGGCTTTTCCTGACATCTCATTTCTTTGATACTGAAGGAATTACCCTTCTTTAAAAATCTAAAGTGAAACTTTGAAGTTTCCTTTGGAACACTAGTTATTGATTTAGATGTGAAAGATTTAATTTTTTTCCCCACCGATGAACTTGGCATACAAGATCAAAGTTGACCTGGAAATGATATTCTAAAGTTTACAACTGCTTAAGTTTTCCAGGCTCTCTGATATGAAACCCTTTTAAAAACACAACACAAGGAGACCACACTAAAAAATATATCTTTAGATGGTATTAGAAAATAAATAAATCTTTATCTTCTTAAACCTATTTTTAAAGTCTTAAATTCAAAGTCGAAAACAAGGGAAATACATAGTGCGATGAAAAGGGAAGAGAGACCAAAAGAAGTTAGACCCCCCCTCAAAAAAAAATCAAAAAAGAATAAGGAATAAATTGTAGGGGGAAGAAGCGAGAAAGGGTAAATGGTAGTGGTGGAGAAATAAAAGGGAAAAACACATTCTAAGCCCCAATTTAAAAATGTTTCATGTGGTTATGAGGCACCGAAACCAAAGCCATTACTAGGTTCCCACCATTACGGAAACTTACGGGAAAAAAAGAATGCTTAGTATTCCAAGTATCTTTTGCTATTTTCCAGTGCCATTGGCAATTGAGAATTCAAACACCAACATCAGTATTTATAAAGACTTATGTCAACTGAGAACATGTTCTGGCAGTTCAGAAAGGAAGGGCCGGGCCCAGCATTCCTGGGACATGGGCAAAATGGCAGATGCAGAGTTATGTGGATTAATCCTCTTTTTCAACAGTATCTTAGAAAACTAGGACCTTCAGAGATGCTAGGACCACTACTGACCTAACAATGACCTGGAGACATTGGAGCCAAATGGTCCAATGGAAGCAGGAGCATGGGGAGTTTACCTGCCATAGCACACCTGCAGCTGTGCAGGTTTCATGTAGCTACCACATCAGGTTCATAAACCATTTAAGAATTTTAAAAATTTCTTCTGACTCCTAGTCAAATGTTAACTGGTTCCATGAATCTTCCCAGCATTTTCTTTTCCTGGTGCTTCAAATATACACACACTATTCATTTTACCATTCACCAAGCCACGAAGCTTCCACAGCACAAAATTCCTACACTGACATTTAAACCTTCTGATTGGTTATAAAAGTAAATGTGTTCATAGAAAAGACAATACAAAGAACCAGCTTAAATTCCAGGTAAAAGACAAGAAGATACCATAGTATGTGCTTAAAAATATGTTTTTCAGACTGGCCCAGTGGCTCATGCCTATAATCCCAGCACTTTGGGAGACCGAAGCGAGCAGATCACCTGAGGTCAGGAGTTCAAGACCAGCCTGGCCAATGTGGTGAAACTCTATCTCTACTAAAAATACAAAAATTAGCTGGGTGTGGTGGCGTCTGCTTATAATTCCAGCTACTCGGGAGGCTGAGGCAGGAGAATTGCTTGAACCTGGAAGGCAGAGGTTGCAGTGAGCCAGGATCATGCCACTGCACTCCAGCCTGGGTGACAGAGCAAGACTCCGTCGCAAAAAAAAAAAAAAAACTTTTTCAATATGCAGGACTAGGGAAAAAGGAAGATGAAGCCAGGTAGATAGAAGACAGGAAGTTGGTGACCAGTGAGGGATACAGCCTTTGGAATAGCATGCTTATCCTCAGTTTGCAGAGAAAAACAGGGCTCAATGTAACTTTAAAAACATGTCTAGGAAGAGTCAGAGCCAAGACTCAAATTCAGACTTGTCTGACTCCACTATACCATCCTGAGAAACTAGAGAAAAGACAGAAAATGAAAACATGAGAGGGAAGGAGAGAGCAAGCTGGCTGAGTCAGAGACAGAACTTCTTAGTAGGTCAGCTTGAAATGCCTTTTATGTCTCGAGTGTAGACTGTTCTCACTAATTAGCCACAGTCACTTCCCACCTTCTTGCCATTCAACCCCTTTCCTCTCTGCCAGATACATCTACAGGCATTTGTAAGTGGTAAAGCACTGCAGCATTAAGGTATGGCATTTTATAACCACATTTCTCAAAACTTTTGTGCTGACAAACCTCACGACCCACTCACCCTTTCATCCCTCCCAACCTGGATTCTTCCTTCAACACTGCAGAAGCTTCACCAGTTACTGCATCCTAACATAACCAAATATGATGGCATCTGCACAGTTCAACATCAGCCAGACTGTGGGTGACTCTTTCCAGAAAGGCTTCCCAAATCCCAGGGGTTAGACCTGTTTCCAACTCAATAAGGTTTGGGGGAACAAAATAATTCCATTGAACTAGTGCCATCTGGGCCAGGAGTTACTCAAAAACCAATGAGATCCGTTAGCCAACTCCTTATAGGGAAGCCTGAGTCCTTCCATCCTCCTGATCCCTGGGACTCGTTCTACTAGAAATATGAAACAAGATAACCTCACTAGGATTCCCACCCTGCCTTCCTTGGTCACAACTCAAAATATAAGCTTCTGACTATTCCTTTTCCTCCCAATATGCTCATCTCCATTCTGCTCTGTGCTTCCTCTGTTTAGCCTCATATCTATTGCTCCTCTCTCTCCCAAACCTTTTCACTGTTTACTCTCCATTCCTCAATCCTGCTTTAAAAACTACCTAAAAGCTAACCTCTGGTGAATTTCCTTCTGGCTCCTTTCCTTAAATAAGACCTTGAGCTCACTGCTTCCCTATAGTATTCTCAAGTGGATATTAGTTTTTCTATAACTTCCTCATACCTTTGACCACTGACAAGTGTCATAAGCTGCCTCCCTTTTCCCCACTACCACTTCAAAACAATTACTGCTCTACTTTTAAGTAAAAACCCCTGTCCCTTGGATTTTAATGCCATCCAGTGACATCTTCCATTACTCTTCTTTTAGCGGTCATTCACTGAACTCTCAATCACTCTCTGTCATTCACTGAAGATGTGGGCACTTGGATTACAGCTGTTGCCTCTATGACATTAGTGCCCATGAGAACAGCTCTAGCCAACCTCAGCTCCAGCCAACCTCAGCTCCAATGATCTGCTTCTCCAGTCCACTTCAGACACTAACTCCGGTGGTCACACACTAGATCTTGCCATTGTATGGAATTGTTTGTCCTCTGAAATACAAAATTCATCCCCCTATAAAAATGCTTTTGCAATGATTGTGTCATTCACAGTGTTTTTTCCATGGTTTCCTATGACTTTTCCTATGAAACCCAACAGATACCTCTTATTCCTTATCTTTGCAGCATTTGGCATCATAGACCATGCCTTCCTTCCTGAGGCGCTGCTCTCTTCTTTCGGTTCCACAATCTCCTAATTTTTTTTTCTACCCCTCTGGCTGTTCTTTTTATAGATTCTACTTCTACTGATATCTAATATATTGATATTCTGGCCAAGCGCAAGGACTCACACGTGTAATCCCAGAACTTTGGGAGGCCAAGGCAGGAGTTGTGCTTGAGTTCAGGAGTTTGAGACCAGCCTGGGCAACACAGCAAGAAACCATCTCTATAAAAAATAAAAATAGGCCAGGCACAGTGGCTCATACCTGCAATCTCAGGACTTTGGAAGGCCAAGGCAGGTGGATCACTTAAGGTCAGAAGTTCAAGACCAGCCTGGCCAACATGGTGAAACCCCGCCTCTACTAAAAATACAAAAATTAGTCGGGCGAGGTGGGGGGTGCCTGTAGACCCAGCTACTTGAGAGGCTGAGGCAGGAGGCTTGCTTGAACCCAGGAAGCGGAGGTTGCAGTGAGCTGAGATTGCGCCACTGCACTCCAGCCTGGGCAACAGAGACTCCCATCTAAAAAATAAACAAATAAATAAAAATTAAATTAAAAAAATAAAACATAATAAACTAATAAATAATAACATATTGATATTCTTAGGGTTCCATCTTTGATCTTCTGTTATCACTCTACACATGCTCCCTTAGCTATCTTACCCATTGACAGTGCTCTAATGAACAACTGTATTCTGATGATTTCAAAATCTTTATCTCCAATTCAGATTGCCTTTCTACTTTAGGCCCACATAGTCTGGAGTTCGCCTGTACATCCCACAATCACCTCAAACTTAGCATGTCTAAAACACAATTCACCGTATCTCTCCAAAGTAAATTTTTCTTTCTGATTCTCTATCACAGTGAATGGCACCATTATCCATCTTAATACTCAAATCCAGAAAAAAATATTGCTGACTCTTGTTTTTCCCATCAGTTCTGGCTAAGTAATCGGTCTCATATCTGCCCACGTTCTCCTACCATCATCTTACATCTGTACCACTGTGATTCTGATTAGCCTCATAGTCAAGGCTGGAACCTTAACAGACACCAGCATTCAGGGAATGAGTAGAGGGAGAGAGGTAGAAGAAAACAAGGAGAAAGTAGGGTCAGGGGAATATAACATTTTGAAAAAAAAGTATTGCCCTCATTCCAGTCTATTCACTACACTGTCATCAGTGTAAGCTTTATAAAAAGAAAATCTGAATTTATCACCTCTTTGTTTAAAACCATTTAATGGCTCCTTATATAAAATAGCACGACTGTGATGTTGTGAAATATATGTTTGATCTTCAACTAGATTCCTGGCAGCCAACTCCTAAAATCCTTAGAATCTCCAAAGTGATGTCTTTTTGTAGAGTTGACCGATAGCTGGCAGACCCTTGGGTAGCTTTAGGATAGGGACTGGGTCACTGGAAAGACCAAGACCCGATTAGGGAGGGGAGAGGGGCTGAAGGTTAAGTTGATCACCAGAAGGTTAAGTTGATCACCAGTGGCCAATAGTTTAATAAATCATGCCTACACAATGAAGCCTCTGCAAAACCCAGAAAGATTAGGGTACAGAGACCTTCTGGATAGCTGAACTCTCATGGAGACTTCTGGAGGAGGATTGCCTGGGATGGGCATGGATGCTCTGTGCCCCTTCACACATTCACTGATGCCTCCACCTTGGAGAACTCATCCTTACTCCCACGTGCTTTGATTTGGATAACCTTTTCCTTTGTGCCTCCATATACCCACAATAAATTCCTTTATTTATTAGTGTGTCCCTCACAAATCCACAAGGTCAATGCAGTCAAGAGTATGACTTTTAGCTGTATTTCCGATGCTTGCAATACTGTCCACCATACCCTCCTTCTTGAAATTGCTTCTTCCCTTAACTTCCATGACAGTGTGTATTTTTTTCCAGATGCTCTGAATTCCTATAAGCTGCTTCCCTTCGTTCCTTAATTTCCTGTTCCTCTTCTCATCCCAAAAGGCAAAAGTCTCATCATCAGTCCTCCTCTCTTTGTGTATTTGCTCTTTTGGTTGCCTATTCCTTGTCTTCTAAACTCTATGTGCTGAAGACCCTGAGATCTACACGTCCAGCTCACAGCTCCCTTCTGAGCACAGATTTCCTTTTAGATTGCCTACTGCTCATTTCCCTTTGGAGATCCTGTCTCACCTGGGACCTCAACATGTCTGAAACAGGACTCCTCCTCTTTCTCTCCAAACCAACTTCTTCTCCTATTTCTGTTAATAGAGCTACAATTCTCCTCGTCAGTCAAACTCAAAACCAGTTATGTTTGGCCCCATCCTTTCCCTCCTCATGCTCACATTACCAAGAGGTGAACTCTTCTTTGTTGCTGATTTTCACATTCCTCTCCATTCTCATTGTCACTACCATAATGTTGTACTTGATTACTAATTGCTAACTAGATCCTTGCTCAGTGCTTGGCTCTTGATCAGCACCGTCTGCATCAGCTTGGCTCATGTTAGAATGCAGAGGTTCAGGTTTAACCCCAGACTTGCTGAGTCAGGTCTCCGGTCACTTGGCTGCTCACTGAAGTTTGAGAAGCATTAGGCCAGGCCATATCAATAAATTCTTTGGCTCACACCTGTAATTCCAGCACTTTGGGAGGCCGAGGTGGGAAGATCATTTGAGGCTGGGAGTTTGAGGCTGAGGTGAGCCATGACTGCGCCACTGCACTCTAGCCTGGGTAACAAAACGAGACTCTGTCTCAAAACAAACAAACAAAAAATTCTTAAGTGGAATCCCTGACTCTAGTCTCTTCTTTCCTTTCATACATCCTACAGACCACAGTGATATGAATTTCTTCTGATCATATCACTTTCTCTCAACTCAAATTTAATGACTAATGACTGTACTCTCAAAGGAATAAAATTCACATTTCTTTCTTTTTTAGGGACAGGGTCTTCCTCTGTCACTCAAGCTGGAGTGTAGTTGTGTGATCGTGGCTCACCTCAGCCTCAAACTCCTGGGCTCAAATGATCCACCCACCTAGCCTCCCAGGTAGCGGGACTGCAGGTGTATGCCACCATGCTCAGCTGATTTTTAAATTTTTTGTAGAGATGAGGTCTTGCTATGTTGCCCATGCTAGTCTTGAACTCTTGGGCACAAGTGATCTTCCTGACTTGGCCTCCCAAAGTGCTGGGATTATAGGTATGAACCACCATACCCTGCCCAAGGTCCACATTTCTTAGAAAATGAGGCTTTCAGCCGCCTACCCAATCTATTTCCCCAGACTTGTATATGCTGTTTCACTAATATATTCTGTATTTCAGGTCAACAGAACTAGAAATGCAGTATGGCACTAGTGGGAAAGAATTTTAACTAAGAATCACTTTTAGCAATGGCATAAGTTGGTTCTGTAACCTCAGGCAAAATGTTTGTCCTCTCAGATCTTGGATTTCTCCTCTGCAAAATAAGGAAGTTAGACCAGGCTAGTGCTTTAAAGATTTTTTTACTGCAGTCTACAGTAAGAAATATATATGTATCTGGTATTCACATCCATACATAAAAATATAAGTACAGTTACAATTGGAGCAAAAGTTGCAGAAAATAATACTTGTTCTTTCAAAATGTAGTGCATGCTAATATTTTCTATTCTCTTCTCATTTATTTATTTCATTTTTAAAAATGCAGGTTGCTAACCACCATATTGATTTCAAAACGCACTAATGGAACCTGGAGATTGCAAAACACTGTGTTTCCTCTAACCCTAACAAGCCATGACTTTTGGGTCCTCCTCCCTGAACATATCCTCTATTTCCCTACTCTGCACCTTTGCTGAAAACATTTTCTCTCCCTGTAACATGCTCTCCTATTCCAGACTCTTGAAATACAATGTGTTTAAGATCTGAAATTTCTTTTTTTTTTTTTTGAGACAGAATCTCGCTCTGTCACCCAGGCTAGAGTGCAGTGGCGGGATCTTGGCTCACTGCAAGCTCTACATCCTGGGTTCATGCCATTCTCCTGCCTCAGCCTCCTGAGTAGCTGGGACTACAGGCGCCTGCCACCATGCCCAGCTAATTTTTTTTTTTTTTTTTTTTTTGTATTTTTTTAATAGAGACGGTGTTTCACTGTGTTAGCCAGGATGGTCTCGATCTCCCGACCTTGTGATCCACCCACCTTGCTTCCCACAGTGCTGCGATTACAGGCGTGAGCCACCGCGCCCGGCCTAAGATCTGAAACTTCTTAAAACTAGAAGATATCTTTGATGCCCTTGCACATCTATAGTACTAGATTGTATTTCTTTCTTGACATTCTACACAAGTGTACTGTAATAGTATTGGTGCCTATTTCTTATCTTTTGTTTTTGGCTGTACTCCCTTGAGGGCAGGGATCATGTCTTTTATGTCTAGTTTTCCTTCGAAGCATTTAGCACAGTGTCTGCTATGTGAGAGTCACTCAAGCCTGAAAATCTCACTCTCTCACAGTTATTCTTTCTCCAACCATTCTTCTATTTAATCAACAGCTCCAGGTCCTTGAACCCTTCCACTCTCTTCATAACTATCAGCAAGCTGCTTATCTTCACTTCCTTTGCTCAGATTAGACTCAGACTAGATACCACTGACTAACACCTTAACTTCTGTCTTGATAATCTCTTCAATTCTCTTGCCTACCTGTCTCTTCCTTTCATACGTCTGGCAGAACTTCAACTCTGACTCAATCCAACTGTCTACATTCTCTGCTCCTCTATTCAAATTGCCAAGCATTACCATAAAAAAAAAATCCCACGATTGTGCAGATAATGTAATGGTCTTCACCCTTACCAGGGTCCTAAACACACCACGAAACATTCCTATTTGGTTTCTCTAGTTAGCTCCCTATCCCATTCTCCACACAGCTCACTGGTATTTTAATTTTTTTTTTTTTTTTTTTTTTCACTCTCCTCAACCCTTTGTTCTCAAACATTCCTTTCCAAAACCTTACTTCCAAGACTGGGTTAGGTTCCCTTATTATGTGTTCCCACAGTATTCCTAGTTACTACGGCCATAGGCTTTAGCACTTTGATTCTCACCACCTATTTATTAATTATAGCACAACTTACATTTTTTTTTTTTTTTTTTTTTTTTTTTTTGAGATGGAGTCTTGCCCTGTCACCCAGGCTGGAGTGCAGTGGTGCCATCTTTGCTCACTGCACCTCCACCTCCTGGGCTCAAGCAATTCTCCTGCCTCACCCTCTTGAGTACCTGGGGTTACAGGCATGTGCCACCACACCTGACTAATTTTTTGTATCTCTAGTAGAGACAGGGTTTCACCATGTTGGCTAGGCTGGTCTCAAACTCCTGACCTCATAATCTGCCCACCCTGGCCTCCCAAAGTACTGGGATTACAGGCGTGAGCCACCGCGCCAGGCTAACAACTTATATATTTCAAACATACAAAAATTAGTATTATTTACAGTATCTTAAGATAAACTTCCTTTGAATAGGAGCTTCCTTTCCAGTACTTTGAGGTCTACGAGATGTATTTAGAAAATTTACTACTGTGGAAAATGAAGACTGCTTACACCAAATGTTGGGGAAAGGGAAGGGCCTGTGATTTTTCTTTTTGATCAATTGCTATAAAACTGTCCTTCAGGTAACTGAGGGAGTTTCACATTTTCTTTAGACATCATTAGGCGCTGAAGCTCTTGAAGGATAACTTTGATGATATATGAATTCTGACATTTTGCTAGCACTGATATAGCTCTTGGGTTCACCATTCCATTAGAACTATTAACTCCATTCATATTAATTTTTGTTACAAATCTTACAAAGGGGAGTGCTTCTGGGTATTTAGGTCCACATTCTATTTTAAGGCTATATATTCTGTTTTCATAAATTGCCTGAGCCCATGGTGGCTGCCATCTTGCGTTGCTGTCGCTTGAAGGGTGGCCCTCACTGCCTATTTAAGTTCATATATCTTACTGGACTTTAAGCTCATTGAAAATAAGAAACACAACTTATTCATTATTGAAACCCCAGAACTTATTACAGCACTAAGTACTCAATAAATATTTCTTAAATGAATGAATAAATGAATACATAAATAAATATTAGTTAAATGAATAAATATATACAAATTTCATATGGTTATTTTAAGAGCCAATCAATTAATTAATGCCAATAAAACCTTAGGGAATGAAAAGTATGAAATATAAATGGTTTCTAAAATTTATAACAGATGTAGAATTATAGCTAGTTAAAAGTTTATTATTATTTCTATTCTAATGACTGGAAAAATAGGAGTTAGGGCCACATATATAATAGGATCTGCTAGAACAAGTATTGCAGACTTCATCATAGACCACAGTAATCTGATAGGAAGAAGGTATTTATTTTACGATGGCCTAGCTTTAGTTTTTTCTTTTTAGTATAATTCTCCTTCACTCATTTATTCATCTAAAGACACATTTGCATGTGGCCATGACTGACAGCATTAGGTTGCTCAGAAAACATTGCTCCATATCTTAAGGGGCAACTCAGCAACTCTTTTTCTTTTTTCTTCCTTTCTTTCCTTTTTTTTTTAAAAAAAGAACAAAAACAAAACTTTTCTCTGGAATATCAGTGATGTCCATCCTCTTATTTGGTATCATAGGACTTTGCTTTGTGAGGCAGTCTGTTTCAGAACTCTCCTTCTGTGGGCAAGCCAGGAGAGGGTCCTGACCCTTAACATACTCACTCTGACATTGTGAGGATGAAGCCCTCCTGGATGCTGAGACATATACTGGGCCAGGTCTGTGTGCTAAATGAAACAGCAGAGAAAGAGAAGAGAGTGAATTCAGTGGTGCTTGGATAGTTTCCTAAAGCAGAACATTGACTTGACTGTCAGAAGGTATTACGAAGTACAGAATTTTAAGAAAAAGGTGCAAAAGGAATATAACCAGGTTTTCTGAGAACCCACTGTTAAGGTCAAACACAGTGTGTCTTTCTAACTGGTAGCTCTTAGAACAAAGCCTGTTTCTCAGCACAGAGATGCTCATTTTAAATGACTGGCACTGAACACAACGACGCAGGAATTTTTCACTCTCCAAGTGTCCTTGGAGGCAAGTCAAGTACACATACCTTACAAGTTCTTTCTGCTTATTTAAATATTTTTTCTTCCAAAACTATAACATGAGTTATTCTTTAGCAAGCTTGCATACAATTTTTAAATATCTTGTGATTTTTACCTTTATTGTCAATGAAAAAAATGTTGGATTCTGCTCAGACAGTGATTAAAACTAGATTAAAAATAAGTGCAAAAGCTTTATTTAGGAGGTAAACTCAAGATCCTCATTTATTATTGCTGATGAGGGGAAAAAGGACAGCAAAAGTCATGGGTAAGGAAGCAGGACCAAAGATGGATGTGGGAACAATAAGGTTCTACTAATCACAATAATGAATATTTCCATGATACTTTCCACGTTGTGTAATAAAAGTTTTATCATGCCATAAAATATTAACAGATTCATTATACAAGTACCAGGCTATTTTTCTCATGTGTTGTAAAATGCTCGAACAACTCACCATGTATTCAAAAACGAATGTCAGTGTCTCTTTGGTGTGGATTATGTCATGCAGAAGCACAATATTGGCATGTTTCAAACCCTTCAGGAGAGAAGCTAGAAAAATTAAACAAAATGTTAAACCCATCATTGATAATGAAAGTGCTGCTCTAAAGATATCAGGCAGTATATATTTTTTAAACATTTCACATCAAACATTCTGGCTATTTGACTGCTGGAAAACAATCTCTTGTTGCAAAAGAATATTTAAAATTACAAAGAACCTTCATTATTTCAAAAATGGCAAAACATTGCATTTACACAACTTATTGTTCCTACAGGCTACAGTAGTTGCAAAAAATATGTTTCCATTTACCTAATCAATTTCATCAAAGCACTCAGATCACTAAATGCTCCCCTTTGGGAATCTCATCAACCTAGCTTCAGAGCTACAGGAGGAGAGGCCTGAGAGATAAAGTGCTTTGGACGAGTAGGAAATGGAGTGTTCTGCCTTCTAAAGCAGGATTTTGTGACACATGACCAGTCTCCAAAATTCTAACTCTCACAAGCGGTCAATAAGGCCGGTGGATATGATTGGTGGGAGACAGGGATAAGAGCATGGGGTAAAGAACTGTTGAAACATGATAGAGACTGGAGAGGATTTCTTAAAGGTAATGTTGCAAACCTCTGTGGAAAGGAGAAAATGTGAACTTGAAAAGAGGAGTCAGCCAAACTTGGGGAGCCCAGGGAGGTGAAAGTGGAGAAGGCTGAGGGCTTTCTCTTGCCTCTTCAATAATAGGTTACTAAAGGCAGCCTTGAAGGGAAGAAGTCATCACAAAAGGCCAAGTGGTTGGGAGGGGTTTGAAAGTCTGTCTTTGAGCTTCCGGAGATAGGAAGACCTCTGGCTTCAGGAAAGCAGAGACTAGAAAAGGTACAATAAAGAGACCATGAGGCCTGGGCATGGTGGCTCACACCTGTGATCCCAGCACTCAGGGAGGCCAAGATGGGTGGATCACCTGAGATCAGGAGTTTGAGACCAGCCTGGCCAACATGGTGAAACCCCGTCTCTACTAAAAATACAAAAACTAGCCGGGTGTGGTGGGGCGTGGTGGTGCACACCTGTAATCCCAGCCACTCAGGAAGCTAAGGCAAAAGAATGCTTGAACCTGGGAGGCGGAGGTTGCATTGAGCTAAGACTGCACCACTGCACTCCAGCCTGGGTGACAGAGCAAGACTCCATCTCAAAAAAAAAAGATGATGAGGCTCACTTCAGGGCATCCCTGCATGAATAAATCGTGTCAAAGCTTAAAGGAAAGGAAAAGTAAAGGATAAAAACTCAAAGCAGCATGCTGTAGCCTATGCCTGCATATCATGAATCTCCTGCACCAACTCCCTCCCAGTGTAGAATTCCATGAGATTAGAAACAAACAACTGAAATACTCCCTTAAATTTAGGAACAAAATTATTTTCTTCAGTCATCAACCTATTTTAGTGAATCTGTCATTTTGCCCTCCTGACAGCCATTCTCCCTTCTAGTAGGGGCACTTCTATTTTCCCCTGGGGAAACAACCATCTTCTTCCTCAGACCATGCTCATCCGGCAGGGCTGACCCTGCCTCTACCCAAGAGTGGGCATGTGACCCAGAGCTGACCAATCAGAGCACAGCACTCCCCTATGCCCAGTGATTGGTTCTGAGACAGGCACAAAACCCAAGTTTGGCAGAGCCCTGTTTTGCTGGTGCCATTAGAAAAGAAGTGCTTTCTTTTCTATTGTGAGAGCTAAACTTGTAGGATTTAGCTAGGAGTTGCTGGGGTCAGATTACCAACACCTGGTGACAGCATGCCTGGGAATAAAATGAAGGCACGGCAAACCAGTGTTGGGTAATGAGAGACATGGCTTCCTGGTGGTATTTCTTATGCCCTACCAGCCTGTAGTTATCAGATCTGTGAGCCAGTGAATTTCTCTCTTTACTTGTCAGTTTAAGCTGACTTACACCGAAGGAGCTCCATCACACCTGTTAACCCTATTTGCTGTAATGACTAATGCTCTAATTTTTACTTTTTGCCCCCAGAGTCCTTATGGGCTAAATTTATTATTTCACTTTTACAAATGTGTTGCTTTGTAAATGTAATAAACAGCTTCTCAGGCATCTGTTTAATCTCCCTAGTCTCAGACTAAAGGCCACATGGGAATTGAGGGAGTGACTTTCCCCCTTTTTGAGATGCTGCCACACCACCTAGTACCACACTCAGCCAAGAGTAAGCACTTAATTTGTCAAACATATTTATTGAGTGTCTTAAGGAGAACTGTCTGTGGAGCCAGAAGCCCTAGTATGAATCCTGGCCCTGTCACTTCCTATCTGAGTAAGCTCTGGAGAGTATCTCAACCCAAGTCTCAATTCATTCCTTAGGAAAAGAGACATCGTCTTTTCTGACTTACTTCATAGGGTTGCTATGAGGATGGAATCAGATACCATTTGTGGAACCTTGGTAAATGTAAAGCATTACAGAGGCAAATTAGAATTGGTATCCCTTCCCTCTTCTTGCCAGCTTCTTGCCCCTGCCTTTCACCTTGAACCCCACTAAACCTCTACTCTCAGTCTTAAAATCTTGTTTATGGTATGTTTCTGCTAGAGTCTTAAACACCTTCCATATTTTCTGACCATCAGTTGAGAATGCTTATAAATTATCTCATACATTTCTCTCTTTCCCCCACCCCTATGTTGCGAAGCATATAGCAAAATTAGATTTCAAAAGGATATGGTAAAACTGAAATTGCTAAGAATATTGTTAAGATATTTTAATTTTATGTTTAATATAATTTTAGTCTCACCTAACTATATTACTAAAACTCCAGATGCTTCTTTATAAATCATGATGGCATGTTTTGTTCATTATGATGGCCTCATGCTCTCATTTGCTAAAATGGTCAAGGAACAATACCTACTTGGGATGAGGCTTCCTGCTAACAATACTGGATATAAACTTCATGTCGTTTTCTTGATAATTCCAGTTTTTGTAGAAGTAGGAAATGTGTCTGTTTTGTATTTCTCTGTTGTTCACTTACATTGGAATTACTAGTTTTACCCACAACCCACAGTTTCTTTGCAGAAATCTTTTTAACCATTCATCCAACTTTTTATCACATACAGATCTATTGGCATTACCTTCCAGATTGTCCAGAACCCCTCCCTTCTTGCCATACTTTCTGCCAGCACCCTGGACCAAGCCACTATCGTATGTTGGTTGAATTATTGCAAATGCCTCCCAACTGCCTGCTTCCCCTCTTCCTTCCTACGGCCACTTATTCACAGGACAGCCAGACACTGCTATCCTTCTCAAATGAGTTAGGGCACGTGCCTCCTGGTTCCAAACCCTCCAGTGGCCTCTCAACTCATGCAGAGTAAATTCAAAGGACTTGTGATTTCCTGCCCACCGTGTTGGCTGTGCGCATCGTGACCTGTCATCTCCTCACACTCCCATCTTTGCTCACTTGGCTTTAGCCTCATTGGCCTCCTAGCTGTTCCTTAGACACACTTGCAAACACATTTCCACCCCGGGGTCTTACACTTCTCATTGTCTTTTCCTGTAACCCTCTCTTCTCACCTCTCTGCCTTCATCCTTCCTCACTTTCTTCAGAGCCTCCGCTCAAATGATACACACAGGTACAGACTTCCTTGACCATTCTACATGAAAAAGCAGCCATCTACTCCATCCCACCTCAGCAGCCCTCCACACCATCCCACCTCTACCCCATCCTACCCTCTCTCTCTCTGGGCCCTGCTTTATTCTTTTCCATAGTGCCTGTCACCACCATCTGACATATTATATATAAATATTTGCTTATTGTCTGTCTCCACAATTGAGAATATAAACTCCATTGAGAGCGGGCACTTTTGTTTTTTTGTTTATTGCTGTATACCCAGTGCCTAAAACAATGTCTGGCACTCAATAAATATTTATCTTTAAATTAGTGGTCACTAATTACCTAATATCCTTTCTATACCTCTAGTTGGTTGGTAAAGGGTGTTTCTGTTGAAGATGCTTTTATTCCCCCTTTCTTTTAGTTGTCTCCCTCATTAGATTATAAATATTGTATGCTTTATGGCCATGCCTATTACTGTTTTTCTAGTGCCCTAGAACTACTGAAATCGTTATATGAAAACTGAATTTTGCTGAATAATGAATAGGGAATTCAGATGAAAGAGCAGATGATGTTTAAAGCATTTATCTCACAGTATTGTTTATCATTTTGGTCCATCCACCAGAGGGATCTGAAATGCCTACAGCCTCAGATGTGTGGGTCTTAAACCCAGGAAGAAAAGGTCTTTCTTTCTTCTAATTTTAAGGACATTTTATAAACTGCACAGCAGGATGTGATATCTGTCCTGCAGACTAAACAGTTGAGGGACACAAAAATCAACTAAGAAGGGCAAAGATCCTAAAATTAGCATTCTGAGTCTCATAAAATAGTGTTTTTTATTATTCATGTATCCTATGTATACTTATTTTTGTTTTTCTTGAAAGAAATGACACAAAAGTAAATAGGGATATCTTTAAGTCTCCAGAAGAAAGCTGATTCTCCAAGTCCTAGGATGTGACTCTATGTAATGAAGGCCTGGTAGTCAAAGTCGTCTTTAGGCTGTAAACTCATTGAGGGCATGGACTGAACTTGCCCTTGTCTTTGCATCTCCAGCACTAGCACAGGCCTGGCATGTGGTGCTCAATAAGTGCTCATGAATTAATGAAAGCCAGGCCAATTGTAATGAGTTTATGAGGAATCATATAATGAGTCAAGGATGGAGTCCTCCCCAACCCTCATTGGACATTGAATTAAAAAGTGTTTCTAGTCCCTGTTGTTACATTTCCTCTGAACTGAGAATCACAAATCAAGTCAATGAGTCAAGTTATGCATTCCAAGAAAAGAAATAATTGAAATAATTTTAGATAAATGTTAGAGAAATAGTAAGACAAGTGTCAGATAAGTAGTTGTCTTGGTATCTTTGGAATTTTAATGCTGATCACATACCATTATCCTGGCATTGTTTTGTTTTATAAAGATGTAACTAGGCACAGTGGATTTGCTATATTTGTGATGTGATTTGATTGTGTTCAACG